AGTCTGCTTAGATGTAGGCGTGTCCTGGTCATCACTTTCAGATACCAGACAGACTCCAATGATCCACACCCAGCTGCTCCCTGAGGCCACAGCTGGCAGAGCTCTGGCTCCTGAGCCCTTCCCCTCCTTTCTACCTTCCAGGATGAGGGTGGGTTGTCACCGGCCTCTGAACTCCTCCCTTCAAAAAGTTGAGCCCAAGTTCCCCTTTGGAGTGTGGGCTGGACAGGGCCACACTTGGGCTGGGATGGAAAGGCTGACTAGCTCTTTAGGGCACTGATTCAGTGAAGCCAGTGTCTTGCCGCAAGGCCACCTGAGCAGTCAGGAAGGGAGACCTCCTGTGGACCCCTAGGCTGAAGCTGGTCTTCCAGACCTTGGGGTGATGAGGTTTTCTGAGATCTTGTGGCTGGTGTGTTAAAGGATTGGTCCTCAACGAGACTTGTTCGGGGATAAGACCCATGGGAGGTGATTTGATTGTGGACTCTGACATCATGAATGCATTCATCCACTAGTAGTCAGGGTTTAATGACCTATTGGGCAGTGAAGGCGACTTTGGGAGGTGGAGGAAGTAGGCTACTGGGGAGTGGGTCCTTGACGGGGATCTTGCCCTTGGCCCTTTTCTTTGTCTTGGCTACAGTGAGGCAGGCAGAGCTCAAGCTACCTGCTGTGTTGCTCTGCTCACCACAGGCCCAGAAGCAACGGAGCCAGGTGACTGTGACTTGAAACCAGGAGCCAAAGGGGGCACAGATTCCTTGAAGGCATGGAGACCTGAAGGAGAGCCGACAGAGTCCCAGGAGCCTCATGGGCTGGAGGCTGCTCGTTGCACCCTCCTTTGATCACCTCCTTTGGTTGTGTGATGCACACCCAGCCAGGGCAACCTCCTCTCAGCCCATTTGGAAGCCACAGCCAGGCAGCAGGTCAGTCCTGCCCTCCTCATTTATAAAAGGGCAAAGGACAGTTCCCAAATGTGGCCAGGGGACAGGCACAAATGCGTCTAGCCCCTCTCTCCCAGAGGAGCAGCAATCCTCGGGCAAAGGCTGCTTGTCCTCAGAGGCTAAGTCTCTCAGAAGGCCCCTTGTGGGCTGGTGCCCTCTCATGGCTGTCCAAGCAGAGCTCAGCAGAGGGCACTGGGCAGGCATCAGGAAGTGACAGGGAAGTCAGCCAACCAGGGCCAGCACCTGTCCCCATCTGAACCTGAGGATGGTCCCAGATAAGCAGTATGGGAGGGGAAGTCTAATGCACTTTAAGTCCTGCACAGCTATGTCCACCTGGATCCAAATCTAGTTGCTTGAAGGAGCAGGAGCTAAGGAAAAGGAGCTTCTGGACAGGGTGTAGGAAGGCCTATGGGAGGTTTCACGGGGTAGCCAGGTGAGGGGACCCTAAGAGTTAACCCCCCAGGAGCCTCAGGTGGGCTCTGAACAGGAGCCTGAGGATCAGAGGGGCCTCCCTTCTCTGTCCCGTCTGCCACACTTCTACCTTCCCATAATCCTGGCCCTGGTGTCTAGAGCCCCTGGTTCTGTGTCAGAAACACTGTCCTGTTCAGTTCTGGCTCTCTAAGACATGGAGACAGGTTGCTCTTGCTGCCCAGGAGAAGGCCTGGGTAGCAGTCAGCTGTTTCCAATGGACTACACACACCCAATACTCACACCCGAACACCCACACCCACTGTACACATTTCACCTAAACAAACACACCAACACACCCAACAGCTACATCCCTAATGTCCCACACAAACATACCAACACATAACACCCAACACTCTGCCTCTACACCTTTAACACAAAGTCACCTCACACATCACACACAACTAAACACACACAATCACCCAACAACCACACATACCCACAAGTCATTACCATATACGAACACCCTAATAACCATGTACAACACCTACCCACTCATTACCTACACATCCAATACTCATGTCCAACACACCTACATAAAGATACAAACACACATACTCAACATCCAACACACCCACAACCCAACACTCCCACACAAATACACTCAATACCCCAAAACATCCACAACTCAACAACCTACACTCCTAATACCTCTGCATAGCACACTCACACAAACATCCACACACACACTCAACACCTATGGGTAACACACCTACACAAACATTCCTACACAAATATAACCAACACCCAAGCATACCCACACCCTAACATCCAGACACCTCCATACAAACATGCAAGAAATGCACACCACAGATGCAACATGCAGGCACACCCACATATACCCATACCCAGTGAACAACACACCAACATCTCCACCACCCATACATAACACTCACCCAGCACCCCACCACATACCCAAGACTCGGGCATACCCATAGCCCGACACCATAACATCCGACATACACAAACACATTGACACACCCAACACCAACATACCTAATACCTACGTACGTTACACACCTAGTACCGACACCCTCATATCCTCACTGCACGCCCAATGCCTATGCACAACACAGCACTCACAAACTTACCTAACACCCATTCACAGCACCCATTATCCATGAGAAAGCACCCTACCGTGTCATGCCTAGCACTTGCAAAGCACAGATGTGTTGGTCTGAGTTCTCTCGACTGCCTGTTCCCTGGGTGCTGCCAGGCAGCTGCCAAGCTAATCTGTTTATTTTTCTAGAAGGCTTGGGAGGAGAAGACACTGGGGGAAGGGACAGAGTGAAGGAATGGGGTTGGGTCCATATCCTTGGTCCTGAGTCTAGGCTCTGCCCTGTGAAGTTTCTGCCTTCATGAGCCTCACAGGGCTGTACCCTCTTCTAGCCAGGGCCAAACAGGGAAAGCTGGATCCACTGCACCTGCAGGGTCCTAGAGGGTACCCTACATGTAGAATGGCAGGTTTCAACAGTTGTGTCACTAAGTCCCCTGGTCAGGGAATACTCAAGCCTGACAGGAGCCAGGCTGCTGAGGACCCCAGGGAATGAGGGCTGTGGCTAGGTCAGAACATTTGTCTCTGTGACTTGGCTTTCTTCACCCCACCTGTCGAATCCCATCCATGAGGAGGCAACTGGTGCTGGGGGGGTTCAGCCAGCCATGGTGACTAGGCTGCAATCTGGAGGATCGTGAAGAATCTCCCTAAGGGGCTGGAGAGATGGCTCAGCAGTTAAGATCACTGATTGCTCTTCCTGAGGTCCTGGTTCAGTTCCCAGCACCCAGATGGCAGCTAACACCCATCCTTCACTCAGGTTTCAGGTGATCTGATGCCCTCTTCTGGCCTCTGCTGGCACCAGGCACATGCGGTTTGCTTCTACAGATGCAGGCAAGACAAAAACAAAACAAAAACAAAAACAAAAACAAAAAACCCTCCACAGTGCACAGTTCGTATGGCTCTGTAGGTCCTGGAAGATTCCCTGACACCTTCCACCCTCCCTGGGGCAGTTGCCTGAATGACACTGGGAAAACTCTCTCCATTTCCAAGATCACTTTGGAGATTCCAAGATCACTTTAGAGATAGAGGGGCATCCTGGCTCCCATCCTGTCTGAGACTGGATGCTTGCTCTAGCTAGCGAGATCCTTCACACCCCAGTGGCTCCTGGGGACAAAAGCCCACAGGGCTTCCAGCCACCCAGATTCCTCTCTGCACATTCCTGGGCCTGGTTGGACCTGTACCTGTAGCTGTAATGAGAGGAGGCAGGGTCTGTAGGGTGCCTGGTGGGGCATGGTGCCCTGTGATGGGCAGGCCCAGAGCTGTAGATCACCATCAGGCACTGTTGGAAGCTGCCACTTCACCAGGGATGGCTACATCTTCCCAGGTATCCTACCCCATCCCTTCAGAAAAGGGCATTCTGGACTGGTCTAGGACCACGGGGGGGGGTGGGGGACTGTACATTGAAGCTGGGTCTAGGGAAATTCCCACACCACTGTGAGGTGAGCCGAAGACACTGGAGGATGTACTGTGGGAATTTCACCTGTGGGATCTAGGCCCTGAAATTTCCCAAGTTCCCTCAGAAAGTGGGGTATAAGATCCACCAGAGGCATCTAACCTGGCTAATGGTGGGGACGCTTCTGGCCTTTAAGAGGCAAGAGCAAGCAGTGAGACCCTGGATTCACTGGCTTTGTTTCCGTTTCTTTATTGGCAGCTCTGAGTTACCTGATTTGAAGGGTGAGGGATGGCAGGTTGAGGGTGGAGAGTTACACAGTTCCTGCTCACAAGAACTGTGGATCCAAGAAAGGCCATGGGGCTAGCTCCACATCAGTGGGGTGCTGTCTCCCAGAGGTCTGAACTTGACCAGTCATGGCTCCTCTCTCAAGCCAGGGTACCATTGTTGAAAAGCGGTTGTGCAGGAGTACCATTAAGACTGGAAGCTGGGTGGGACCACTGAGACTCTACGGAGAGCTTAAGATGTGTGAGGGAGCTCGGCCACCTGCCACAGGTTTCCACCGTGAAGTTTGAGGCCGCCAAGCTGGATGTCATAGGATTTTCACCAGGCAGGCTCATGCCTTGGGTTTCCCCAACACTTTCGGAGTAATAGGCCCCAGGTAGGAGTAGGGATCAGACCCGAGTGGCTATTTCCATGGAGGACCTACTGGTGGAGAGTGGGTGCTGAACACCTAATGGAGCAGTTGGTCTTACTAAACAGGGCATCTCAGAAGGTTAGGGACTCCAGGCTGTGGACTCCAGAGCCAAGGCCATTGTTAGGAGGGTGGACAGCTGTGGTCCTCTGAAGCTGGCGGGGGGTCACCCTTTCCCATTCCGGCTGTGTTCAGAGTTACCCTATAAGGTTCCTTAGCCTCAGGAAACCTGAGGTCTTTTAAAAGCCTCATTACAAGTGAGGTGGAGTGCTCCTTCAACTCAGGCTGGGTGAGTGCCCGAGAACAGGCCCTTCCCTGGGCCCTGTGCACCAAAGGTCATGCTCCTGGTGCCTGCGCAAACCTTAGCACCCAAAGTGTGTATTTATTTCCACTGTGTCGCCCAGAGAAATGGAGCTGAAGTTGCACCCTGCAGAGGACCAGCAAGAACACTAGATCAGAAGAATGGCCCAGCTTCCCCCAGCGCTGCGCCTCCCCTGGTGGTCAGCCTCCTTCCCTGGTAAGCAGGGCCCAACGTAGCCCAGCGCTGCGCCTCCCCTGTGGGTCAGCCTCCTTCCCTGGTGGTCAGCCCCCAGCCCTGATCCTCCCCTGGTGGTCAGCCCCCAGCCCTGATCCTCCCCTGGTGGTCAGCCCCCAGCCCTGATCCTCCCCTGGTGGTCAGCCCTCAACCCTGCTCCTCCTCTGGCGGCCAGAGTGCAGGCAGGGTGAGCTGCTGCCTTGACTCTCCAAGACTGGGCTGGCAGTTGAGAAGGCAAGGGAGCAGAGCTGCAGGTCTGTGACTGTATCTGGCTTATTGGGGAACCAAACCACTGGGGAAACGGGAAGTTCAGTGAGGTCAATAGCCTGGCACAGGCCTTGCTTCCGAAACCGGGAAGACTGCGGGCGCACAACGGCCCGAGTAGGCACAGGAAGATGCGAAGGTTTGGATGGGGCGCAGGTCCGAAGGAGGCCAGGCCGCTAGATCGGTGGCACATGGGGTCCGGCGTGTGCGTGCGCCTCCGGGCAGAAGGTGCTTGAGAGCAAGCCGCGCTCCAACCGGAGCCTGGGAGGAAGGAACTCTCAGCCTCGGGAGCCGGTAACTGGAGGGGCGCAGAAGCACAACGGAGGAGGTGGGCAGCCCCGGTCCGAGGGGCGAGCGCGGCAGACTGCAGGCGCGTCTCGGGCAGGGTGCGCACGGGGCACCGACTGAGCGGGTGCGGCCGGGGCTGCCTGGAAAGCCGAGACTCCGCTGTGGCTTGCGCCGTCGCCGTCGGGGCGCAGCGGTGGGGGCGCCGCCTCCGGCAGCCGCGCGGGGTCCGGGCGGGAGGGGCAGGGGCGGCGCCAGGCGGTGGTGACGTGCTCCGGGGACGTGCCGCGCGAGGGATGAGAGCACTTAAAGTCGCCCCCGGCTCGGCGCTGGGCAGCCGGGGCGGGCAGAGGCGGGCGTAGCGGCTGGCGGCGGCAGGTAGGCGCGGCGGGATGCTCGGGCGCTGAGGCTGGCACGCTCCGAGCCGCCCCGGGGATGGGTCCCGCGGGTAGGGCCCTGGCGCAGCAGGTGCCCCCCCACCCTCGGAGATGGCCTCGCGGCCCCTCTCCCCTTCCCCTCCTAGCTCTCTGGCCCCGGCGCTCCCCAGGCTTGGTCGGACCCTCTCACCCCTGCGGCTCCACCGAAGGGCTCCGGGCAGCAGGCGGCTCTCGTACCCCGCCTCCCAGCCAGCGCAGAAGCCCATCCGTCGGGCGGCCCTCGGGGGCTGGGCTTCATCCAGAAGGCCGAGCGGTCCCGAGTATAAATAGCTTGGCCCAAGGCGGGCTGGAGGGCGGCCCGGGCCCCTGGGCTATATTTGGTGGGGATGCTGCGGGCCTCCGGGAGCCCTGGATCGCCACCTAGCCTAGGCCGCCTGCCTGGCGGGAGGGACGCACGTGCGCTCCGGTGGTTGGGGGGTGCGCTCCAGCCTCCTTCTCCCGTCCCTTTACCTCTCTTGCTATCATGTTAAACTGACCCACGGTGAGCAGCTACTCACCCATACTAGGCACATGAAAGTGGGGCTTCTTCGTAGAATGGGCTGGGTTCGCTTGAACCTCCTCATTCCGTGAAAACCAGGCACAGAACCTCCGTTTTCTTATCTAAAAAATGGGTTCACTAGACTCCTGCCTGGATGCTGGGCCAATCAAGATGCAGACTCGACTTCAAGGGACGCGCTTAGCTCTGGACCACTGCCGATGGTGGTGCGTGGAATCTGGGTGAGGGACAAAGGGACAGCAGAATCTAGTGTCCTTTCTGTACGAGACGCACTGGGCTGCCTGTCCAGGCCACCGAGGCCGACAGGATCACTCTGTGATGCCCGGAGTCAGGGCCACTGGGTGGTCTTACAGACAGTAAATGGCAGGGACTCCCCACGCCAACACAGGCCCAGAGGCTTATCCAAAGCTGAGTGGGTTGTTTGGCGAGCCAGGTTATTTCCCATGCCACCCAGTCCATCCCACAGGCCCAAGAGTTGGCTGGTGCCCACTGGGTGCTGGGTTTTCTGTGCTGAGGAACGAGGACAGTCCCCAAAGCCCGGGACTCCTTCAGGATGGGCAGTGACTGATGCACAGCCAGGGTGGTGCGCGTGGGTGGTGTGTCTGGCCCTCAAGGGTTACTGGGGACACTGCCAGAGGCTGGGTCTCAAGATAGACTTGCCCACAGCCTCAGTGACCTTGGGCAGATCTAGTACTCACTGCCTGGACGCCTGGGTTTGGAGCAGCAGTAAGAAGAAAGCGTGATTGATCCTGGAGCCTCCAGTGGGTGGGAACGCACAGTGCGCCGCTGTGCCACGCTCACTGACTCTAGGGCGGGTCCTACAGTGACCTGGCCGGGTGGAAAGGGAGAGCCAGCGAGGAATGAGTCCGGGCGGCACCCGGGGCCCCAGGCGGGTTCTTCTGGGAGGTGGCGCTGAGGGACTGGAGAGCCTCTGGATCAGGCCTTAGGCCACCTTGTACGGGATAGGGGCGCGGGCGGGCTCAAGCCAGGAGTTCTCAATGTCACCTTGCGTAGGCCTCCCGGCCTCAATGTCCACCTGTGGAATGGGTCACCAGGGGCAGATGCGCTCACGGATCAGCTGCGTACCCGCAGAGCCCCGGGCTGCGCGCCCCGCTCCGCCCCGCCTCTAAGGGCAGAGGATGCTGCGGGCAAGGCGCGGGTCCCTGCGGGCGCGTGGAGCGGCCCCTGGAGGTGCTGCGCGCTGCAAGTACGGTCGCGAAGGACATATACTCCAGGCAATACGGCGGCAGCTCCTCCCTTGGCGCGGTCACGTCCCCCACGTCCCAGGGCCGCGAGGGCGGAGCTTCCTGCCCTCCCCAGCCCTAGCCGGACCCACCGGGCCCCGCCCAGGTCTGCCCGACTTCTACCGCCCGCGGGCAGATGGAGCGAGGCTATCCTTTAGCGGCCCTCCAGCCTCTTCCTAAACCCAGCTCTCTTGCCTGTGGCCACTCCTCCATACTTGGCTGGTGTGGGAACTGGGGGGCGTCTCTGACTTCCAAGCCATCCCCTAGCCTTGGCCTTAGACCTTGGCTTTGGAGGACAGCATGGGAGTCCATGGATCCATAAGGTAGCTTTGTTCAGTGTCCAGTAGGTCTCGGAGGGACCTCGATGGAGAGGGGTTCCGAGTCGTCCAGACCACTGACCCCAACTTTGCAAAGAAGGGGGGGGTCCCAACACAGCTAAGGGTTCAGTGTTCCTCACTGAAGCGACCTCAGGGCTGGTCTCCCCTGAGGTGTCGGAATCTGGACAACTGTGCATTCTGGCAAATGATGCCGTGTTTCTGCCTCACTGGACCCTGCAGAGTCGATGTGAGCTGACAGGAGAGTCTACCGGGAGCGCCAGGCATGCACTTAGAGGATGGGCAAACAGAGATGGGGTGGAGGGCCATGCCAGCCCAGGGCCCGCCCTCTGCTGCCCTCTGCACTCCTTGCCAGAAAACGTCCGTAAAGACTTGTCCATGGCCTGCCTTTGCACACTGGTGGGCTTAGGGACAGGTGGGGATCTGGGATGCTAGTGTAAGGAACGCAATTGCCCCAGTGCTTGCAGTGTCTACCTGGGCCACGAAAGCAACGCCATTGGCTGGCCCCTCCAACCTGTGACAAGCACTTAAGTAGGCAACTGAACAGGCCACAGAACGCAGGGCTTGGGTCACTGGGCACTTGGTCTACAGGAACCAATGAGTCCAACTGCTGAGGCTGTAGTGCAGGCCCTACAGTGTAGGCAGGGAGGGTCCCTAACAGCTCTGACCTGAGAGGTGCAATGGGCCCTGGATGCAGGGTCTCCTGGAAGGGCTGGTCCAAGGGGCTCCGATGCACTCCTGCCATAGGCTGTCCCTGCCCAACTGCAGCTCCAGGGGTACTGGGCCTTCCAAAGGCCTCTGGGGACCAGCCTTGGTAGCACCCTGGAGCCTCTCCTGACCCAACCCCCAGCCCCAGATCAGCTTTCTGCAACCTAGAGGCTGGGTTATTTCTGGTGGCTTCACATGCTACCTTGGGAGGGTAAATGTCACTGAAAGGCCAGCCAGCTGGGATGTGCCCATGATTGCTGATGGAGATGGGCAATGGTGGGTGCTTCCTCCCCCTGTGGATAGTCACAGGGTGGCCCCAGGGTTTTCTTGGAGCAGCCTGCACTTTGGCCCATCTGGGCTCTGTCACCCTAGATGAGGTCTGTGGACCGTCTTCTCAAGGCAGTCTGGGAATCCTGGCCCCTACTCTCCCCATGTGTGAAGTCCCCTGCCTCCAGCGTCTGGCTGGCCAACAGCAGGCTTAAACTCCACCCCGGGTTGTCAAACTGTAGCCTCCCATCTGTAGGGTCTCTGGTGACGGGTTGGGGTGGGCCTTCGTTGAGGCTACGTTAGCGTGGCTGGTGGCCCAGGCTAGGTGAGGACAGCACTTGGCTGGGAGCTTCCTGTCCGGGTGCCATCATCTCCTTGGCACTGAAGGTGGCACCCCTCCGCCCCCCGTAAATCTCACATGGCAGCCACGGGTCTCAAAAGTCTCAGAACATGCTGTGCCCTCCTGCCCTTTGCTCACCCTCCAAGACCGCAGTCAGAGGGCACCTCACCTACAGCAGGTGATGATGTCCCTAGCTCCTTCTTCTGTCCTGTGGGGACTCTGGGAGCTCTAGTGAGGGACTAGCTTTTGTAAAGGGCAAGCAAAGGAAGAGACACTTCAAAAAGTGGGGGTGCCCATGAGCTCCTACAAGTGCTGGGTGGGCACAGCTGATACAGCTCAGAGGCTCAGGCCTGGGAGCCCCAACTTCTCTGCGGGAACCTTAGGTTTGTAGAGTTGGGGTAGTGCTCACTGAGGGTTCCGGGCATGGTCTTTTCTGCCTTGCATGGCCACTAAATTTTTATTACACTTAAATAAATTTTTATTCTGTGTGCCTGGGGAGGGAGCATGTGTGTGCCATGGTGTGTGCATGCCACAGCAGTCAGGACAGCCCGAAGGAGTCAGTTCTCTCCTTCCACCCTGTGGGTCGTGGGGATTGAGCTCAGGGTGTCAGGGTCGGTGCAAGGTGCCTTTAGCTGTCTTGCCAACCCCAAATTTATTTTTAAAAGTGCATCAGACTTACAAACAAGCAGAGACCCCAGAGTTGGGCACTCCACCTATTCTCTCTATGACCACTCTGGACTCTGGGCCTGGGTCCTAAAATGTACTTTTTAGTTTCTTCAGATTTTTAAGTCTTCCCATTATATATGATCTTGGGGCCTTTTAAACTCAGGGTAATGGGTAAGAAGTGTTCTGACTGTGGCACATGACACTCCTGGGCCTGTGGGGAGAGGGTGGTGACTCAGGCAGATGTCAGAGGCAGGGTATGTACAGCCTTTAGGGCTGGTGAGTACTCCTGGCAGAGCTGTGTGTAGCCTGTGAACCTTAGGGAACCCGGATAGAGTCACGCTGAGCCTGGACTTTGCAAGGCACAGTCTAGTCCAGCATGTCTATGCACCAACCACAGTGTTCACAGTAGGGAGCCAGCAAAGGGGCAGGGCTAGAGCCCAGGGAGCCATGCTCAGCCCTCCCAGGGTGAGCAGCTGAAGTGGGAAGCTGTTCTGGTCAGGGGCTTACACCCAGACGCCGGCCACCTTCATACACCATGGCTTGCTTTCCTTCCCAGAGCGCTGGTGACAGACCACTGGTGGAGAGAGGTACAACAGGCTGGACTGAACACCCAGGTCGGAGGCTGCCCTTTCTGCACCTCAGTCCTTGGTGAGGTGGCTGACAGGCCAACCGCTGGAGTTAGGGGAATACTGATGTGGGGAGAGGAAGATACAGGTTTAGACCCAGCTTTCCAACCTGCTTTGTCTCCCACAAACTAAGCCCCTGAATTTCACAAAAAGGGAAGTCGGCCCCGGGTGGGTGTGAGGTTTGGGACAGTCCCTGCTTGCCTTGGCTGCTGGGGGCCAGAAGGATCTACTCCCACAGACTGGCTAGGAGCTGCCACCAGTCCTCCCCCGACCATGGTCAGCCCCCCCCCACAGTCAGTCCTCCCCCCACCACGGTCAGTCAGTCCTTCCTCCACCACGGTCAGTCAGTCCTCCCCCCCCACGGTCAGTCAGTCCTTCCCCCCCGCCTCAGACCTTCCGGCAATCCATCAGCACCCTTGTCTTTCCAAAAGCCACCGTCATGGATGGTTCCAGGCGGAGGTACAACCACCCGGCTCTGCTCAGGGGAATTGGGAAGTGATGCTAGTGATAAGCCGCACTCAGGTACCACAGCCTGTGTACCTCCATGTGCCCCTGCTGCAGACCTCTGCCCAGCCAGTCAGCCAGAAAGCAGGATCCAGAGTGGGCAGGACTCACTTCTTTTAGAGTTAGAGCTGGACACCCGCCCTGGACACTTAGGGGAAGACTCAAGAGTGTGGCCGGAGGGGACAGGAAGTACAGGTCGCTGCCAAGATTGTGCCGCAGGGCACAGCTTCTGCCCAGCACAGCTTCAGAAAACAGCCAGGCCCACTTCCTGGGTCTCCTCAGGAAGTAATGTGAGTCTTGGTTGGCCCCCGCCCCCCAAAAGGCTACTGTGTGTTGCAGCCAGCTGTGTGGGAGCAGGAGGCTGGACGAAAGGCCCAGTCGGCTCACTAGGTAAAGGTGGCCAGAGAGAGGGGCCCTGAGGCAGCACTGGCAGGCTGCCCATGGCTGAGCTGTAGAGCGGCCAGGTGCCAATCCTGGGGCTCCCCAGGTGTCTTGCCTGTCTCCGTCCCCACCCTCTCCTGCTGGGCTGCAGCTGAGATGGTCACCCTGGCAACCTGAGTCAGCACTGTTTCCTCTTGCTCAGGGTAAGGCGGAACCAGCCCTCCTGACGATGGGAGGAGCTGTGGTGGACGAGGGTCCCACGGGCATCAAGGCCCCCGATGGAGGCTGGGGCTGGGCCGTCCTCTTTGGTTGTTTCGTCATCACTGGCTTCTCCTACGCCTTCCCCAAAGCGGTCAGTGTCTTCTTCAAGGAGCTCATGCATGAGTTTGATATTGGCTACAGCGACACGGCCTGGATCTCCTCCATCCTGCTGGCCATGCTATACGGAACAGGTGAGGGGGGGCCCAGGAGCCCAAGTGAGCTAAGGGGCCTGGGGAGAGTCCTGGGGGTGGCTGGGGATCCTGCCAAAAAGCCACAGGTTCTCTGAAGGCAAAGTGTGTCCGGGCCCCTGTCCGAGCAGGTGGGTTGTGTCAACAGCAATCAGGCTCCACAAGATGTTCTTTCAAAGATGGCCGCTTCCTG